GATCTTCTGGAGGAGCTCCGTCAGATTCATAGCACTTTCCACGTTTCACAGTTGCGGAAGTTCATGCTGGAGGAGGATGCAGTAGTGTCCTTGGATGACATTTAGGTCGATAAACGTTTGAATTATGTTGAGCATCTGATGGATGTATTGGAGAGGAAGATAAAGGTTCTGCGCAACAAAGATATACCTGTGGTAAAGGCATAATGGCGACATAGGAAGGGATCCGAGTGGACTTGGAACTGGAGTCCGAGATGCATGAGCATTATCCAGATCTGTTTGCTACAATAGACTTTGAGGACGAAGTCTAGGTCAAGTGGGGGAGAGTTGTAACATCCCGAGATTTTGCAGGTATTTTCGAATCTTTCCCTCATTATTATCATGGTCATTTTTAGTCCTTGGGGTTGGGTGGATATACCCAAAAGATTCCCTAATGGCTAATAACACAACTTTAGACCAAGAGGAGTACATTGTGTGTATATAAGGGTATGTTGAGCGTATTAGGTGCACTCTAGTACGCTAGGCGTACTCACATCAGGAGAAAACCCTAATATTTAAGGTGTGGGTGCTATATAAGTGTCCTTATCATAACCCAGGATCATTTCAGCCTCTATAGCTTTGTGTCATATTCCCCAAACTCTAACCCCTCTCTTGAGTGTGTGAGCTAAAAGTGTGTGTTTTGAGTAGTTGAAGAAGAAGGTATTGCATCAAGGTGTTGGAGAAGTGAGGAAAGCTTGAATATCTGAGGTTATCTTGTGCTCTAGAAGCTTTAGAAGGTAAAAGATCCTGCCTTTATGCTTGTATGATGTAGATTTATACCTTTCTTGTCCCAAAAAGTCCTAAGTTGGTGCATGTAATGTTTTGGACGTGTTAAGGTGTCCTTTCAAACCATACGACGGGTTCTAAATGATAATGATGTCCTAATGGCTAGAAGTGTCCCATGCATGTAGTGGAAAGGTCCTGATGGATTAACACCATGTATTAACGGCTTTTTGGACGTCTAAAGTCTTAAATTTTGAGACTTTATGGTTCTGAGGTTCATTTAGTCAATGGATCTGGAGTTAGGGCTTAAGTGCTTAAGCCAATTAGCATTTATTAGAGTTTTTGGTAAAGCTCACGTACACCCTGCGTAAGCCATGGTACACCCAGCGTACTGAGTCATCCACCCAAATGGTGGTCAACGCACGGTGGAGTACGCCCAGTGTACGCCTTCTAATGGGCTTTTGCGATTTGGGTTCCGGATTGGGCCACCTTTGGGTCATTATGGTTTAGGCATTTGTTGGACTTTCTGAATAAATGTATTTGGGCCTAATATGGAAATGGACCTTAGGATGACGCCCAATTAAAGAGTTGGGCCCAATTTGGAAAATTGGGCCAATAATGGGCCTTGTGTATTTGGACCTTTTGGATCATGGATTTGGAATTGGGCCTTGGCCCAAATTAGAGAAAGGGAAAAATGGACTATTACCCTATGTGGGACCCTTGGTCAAGATTGATACTCCAACTGTTGACTTGGTGCTCGTTATTTTGGATAGTTTGCGATTTTCGGTGAGATAGCGGTCGGAGACTTTCAATCTAATTCAGCACTACTTGTGAGGTGAGTTTTCCTCACTATACTAACAGGGTCAAAGGCACCAATTCCACCCCTTTTGGATTGTATCCTGGTTATAGGATGATGTTATGTTTAATGATCTGTTAGATCGGTATTCTAGTATATAGGATGATGGTATGTTTACTGATCTGTTAGATCGGTATCCTGGTATATAGGATAATGTTATGTTTAGTGATATGTTAGATTGATATCCTGGTATATAGGATGATGCTATGATTAGTGATCCGTAGATTTATATGATTGTTTGTGCATGCTAGCTAGCATATGATATTTATGTGTTGATTGTGTGATTGTGGGTGGGTTGAGGCGATCCTGCTTCGTGTTATAGGCCAACAAACCCAAGGCAGTACGGATAGACTGAAGGCCCATCACGGCGTACCAGTCAGACCGAAGGCTCGGAGAACGGTCCAGACAAGTTGAAGGCTCGGGAGGGCGGACCAGACATGCTGAAGGTTCTGAGAGTGGGCCAGATAGACTGAAGGCCCGATGAGGGCGGTTCAGTCATACTGAAGACTCTATATGCATGCTGTTTGTTATGATATTGTTCTATTTGTATGACGTTGGTATTTTGGGGAACTCACTAAGCTTCAGACTTACAATTTTGGATTTTGTTTCAGGTACTTCGGATGATCGAGGGAAGGCGAAGGCTTGAGCGTGCATCTCCTCACATTTTATGATTTTGATTTCTGAGATTCTCTAATATGAAATTATTTTGAAAACATTTTGTAATAAGTAATGGTTTTTGGATGTTTGAAAAAAGTTTTAAATTTTTATGAGTTTGTATGGATGTTACAATTTCTTTATAAAATTCATTTATAAATTCTCGTTCCTTCACAATATTTTTCAATATTTTTTTCTTGCTTTATTACACGCATACATACATTTTGCCAATTTGTTCCCATCATGGAACAAAATCTAAACACTCAAACAAATCAAAACAGAAATGTTGACAAACCGGTTTCTTTATACACTATACCACATCAATATTAGAGCTTAGATTCACTATAAGGTGATATCATGAACTTCCTTATCCCATAATAACCTCTTTTTCAACAACCTTTTATGTTGGGAAAAATCGAAATTGGGTTATGGAAATTTGGTTAACAAAACAGGAATTGTGTAATCACTTTCCTTGTTTGATATTTCGACCCTATATGCCTTGGGTATCACGAAATCCAAACTTAGGATAGTTCCTGATGCAGCAATTCTGATTTTAGGCACAAAATCATAATCAATTTTAGAAGAAGATGAAGAAGAAAACGTTTCCCGGTTTTCTATGTTTCAATTGGCGCCGTTTTCATTGATTTATCCAATCAACGAATAACTGAAAACAGTTTGTATCTTTCAAAAAAAGAAAGATTAGTCCTTAAATTTACATCTTTCAAGAATGACAGAATAGTGTTCGGTACTAATAATGTTTTAGTAAGTACAAGTGTGCACTCCCACACCTCCTAACTTGTATTATAACTAAAACATTATTCTTGAAACACTTGTTAAGTCCATTACACTAAAATATATTTAGTGATAAAATCACCAACATTTTACACACCAATTTTTTCCAACAACCTTATCAATATCTTTTAATATGACAATCTTTCAGACAATCACAACTGACACCGGGTTTTCCCAATGTAGTCATGAGACACAATTCAATCAACCATGACCATTGAAGAAATGTGTTTATCGGATGATGACCAAATTACGTAAAAATGGAGCGGTATAAGGTTAAAAATAACCGAATTCAACGAAATTCACAACCTCAAAAACATACACAAAAGTGGAGCCAACAATTTTTACATCTTTATCATGACGCTCAAACAATACCAAAAACTACAACATACCCGTAAACATTTTCCTTATGTTAATGTTTGGTATGAGTTGAAAAAGTGTCAAAATGGTTTCTTGTTGACGAAGCGGGTTTCTTCTGGTTCAAATCGTGCGAGGAATGCCAGATCATGTAGTCACTCACAAAATTCGGACGGACAAACATATATCGAGATCAATGATGAGTTTGATGACCTTGAAGTGGAAGTACTTGTACGTCGACCGATAGAAAAGAATAAAGTGCAGAAATGGGCTTTCAGTTCGGGTTCAAAAAATACAAAAGCAAGCAGTATTGATCATTTATGAGATAAATTTGAATAATACAATTCCAAGAGTAGAATGCTGAAATCAAATACATAAATAAATAAATGAAAAAAAAAAAACGCAAGTTTAAAAAGGAAAAAAATATCCACTTGAAAATTTTGAAGTTGAAAGCGACGATTATGAATGGAGAATCTAATGTATGTGGTACATGTCATGTTTGTAGGGTATTTTAGGTAAGTATACAAAGGTAGTGTATGTATGTATGGTTATGAGTTGGCATGGTGTTAAGAGTTTGTGGTATATTTCATGTTTGTAGGGCATTTTAGGAATATGGTTAATGGATGTGTGATAGTGTGTATGTCATTTTTAAAATTAAGTAAATCACATTTTGAATATATATACTTTTTCGTTCTATAGTAAATACTAATTTCTATATCGTAACAATTTAAAACCTCATCTTATATGGTTTCCCAATTGTAAACAAAGTGCTCTCTTGACTAAAAGGAAAGTAGGAAACAACCGAAACAAGATCTGGAACAAGTTTCCCAAACCTCCATAATTTCTGATTAATTGCAAAACCTACCCATTTATGTACAAAGATTTCCAAAAGTTCATGTCATCTCATTGGATAATGTGAGGATTATAATCGTTTTTTATAATAAAAATGTCACCAAGAATATTTCAATATATTTTCTAATGAAATTTAAAACATGTTTGATTTAGAATTAAAAAATGCATATCATTAGTTTTTTTAGAACGAATGAATAATTAATATATCATTTTCTAAAAATTTCAAATATAAAAATCATTATTTACGAAAACGAATGTTAAAAATAAGCAGTCATTTTTCGTTGCTATAATTAATTTTATCTAGAAAGATTGTAATATCATTTTTTTATGTCTATCTAAATAAATAATTATTGAAAAACTAGTCAATAAAGAAATGAATAATATTGCAAATTTATAGTCATAGCATAATTAAAATGTGTTTAGCCTTTTTATCCAATAAAACAAACATTCCAAAATTATTGCTAACTTTTACAATTACAAATTTGCAAAATATATTGTAAACGTTAATCTAGAAAAATAGATAAGACTCGTTTAAGTGAAACATTCAATTTTAGGGGGGTGTTATTGTATATCTCCATAAAAAAAAAGGGGTGTTATTGTGCGATTAGAAATGTTAGGGATATATTTTTCAATTTCCGAAGTAAATTGACTTGAGAGTCTCCCTATATATATTCCACTACTCCGATCCAATTATTGCTTGCAATCGAAAGAAAACAAAAACGAAATCAAAACAATGGCGAAAAGGAGTTTAACAGAGGAGTCTCGTAATGATTTCAGAGACAAGAAAAGGATTCTGATATCTTCGGCGGAGATTACGTCTCATGGGTTCAACGACTTCTGTTTTTCCGGCGATGACAACAATGAATACGAACACGAAGACTGTGAAAGTTCAGTGGGGTCTAATCATCCGATTCTTGATGTCATACTTATCTCCGACAGTGAAGACGATGAGGTTGAATCTCCATCCTCTAAGATCGATATCACCGGCGATGAAGTACAAGAAACACAAACAGGAATCACACTATTCCGGTCGCCGGCGGTTGCCGAGAACCAGTGCGCTGAAATCGAAGTAACAGAGAAGAAGCAGAAAGAAGGCGAAGAAGAAGAAGAAGGGAGTTGGTGGATGGAATTCGGTTCGATGATTGTTGATAATAATGGCTTTCTTTTAGGCGAATACAGAAGACTGGATGAAGAACTTTACGTCAACATAACTGCCGATTCTTGAATGATTTTCTATTGGATGTTTTTTATGTAAATATTTAAATAGATTATGATATATAATTGGGTTTTCTAAAGCTAGGATTATTTAGGACAAAGTTGATATTTCATACTACAACATGTTGATGAAATTCGGCATTAGTGATATCATGTTACAAATCATGTTTAATTGATTGATCAATTCAAAGAATAAGAGATCATTTTGCCTAAAGAATTTGAGCCATATTGTTTGTTATTTAAGTTAACAGATCATATACAAATAATACAAGAGATTATAAGCGCTAATTGTGATTGATCATAGTAAAAACTAAAAATATCTAATGATGAATAGTTTAAAAGGAATCCCGGACTATACGATAATACTAAAACGTACACTCATAGTTATTTCATCATTAATAAATACTTTTATTACATATCAAATCAAATGTAATGTAAATGATATTATATATGCACACAAGATGAGCAAGTTCGATTGAAGTAGTTATGTTAACAAATTTGTGTAACCAAATTTCATTCATAAATAATATACTGTATATTTATGAGTATAACAAAAAAAAAAAAAAAAAATCACCTTTTTATCTTAAATTTCCGGGTTTGCTTGTTACGAAAATTCTAAAAAATAGCTATGTAAGTATATATATATAAGAAGTTTTTTTATTTATTTATTTTTTCTAAATAGAGGAAATTGTTAAATATATACAATATAATTTATCGTGACAAGATAAATAGAATTTTTTATTTAGTTTCTGAAATTATCTATTTCTAAAGCAATATGATAAAATCTCGGAGGCAAGTGATTCGCTTGTTCGGCGAAAGTTAGTATATGCGGTTATTAAAGTAGTACAACATATAAATAGTAAATAATTTTACATAGTTCTTTTTTATAGTAAATACTAAATATTATTTCCTAATTTAAAACCTCGTATTCTATGGATTCCCGATTGTAAACAAATAGCTTTCTTGACCAGAAGGAAACAACGGAGAAAAAATCTAGAAAAAGTTTCGAAAACTCCCCATAGTTTCTGCTTAATTACAAAACCTACCCATTTATGTACAAAGATTTCCAAAAATATATGTCATCTCATTGCATAATGTGAGTCGATAGATGGTAAATTACATTTGGTTTTTATAATGAAAATGTTATTAAAAATATTAAAATCTATTTTTCTAATGAAATTTAAATATTTTAGCGTTAAAAGTTATAGCATTACTTTTCTAAGAACAAATAAATAATTAATATATCATGTTCTAAACTTTTTAAATATAAAAATATTATTTACTAAAACGATTGTTACAAATAACTAGCCACTTGTTGATATACAATTAATTATATTTTAGAAAGTTTGTAATATAATGTTTTATGTCTATTTAAATAAAGAAATATTTGAAGAACTTGTCAATAAAGAAATCAATAATAGTTCAAATTTATAGTCATAGGCTCATAAATGTGTTTACCCTTGTTAATATAGAAAACAAACATTCAAAATTTATTTCTAACTTTTTATAAAACAAATTTACCTATTTTATATAATATATAAAAAAGTGCAAAATATGACTGTTAAGATGAGAAAAAGTATTTATACTCTTTTTAAAATTTTCGTTTTTGCATGACACATTAATCAAAGTAATTTTTACTTTTAAAGTAATTGTATATATTTTTATGATTGATTTTTAATACACTTGGATACCTTATGATTTATGATTTTTCTTTATTATTTATTACAGACAACCGATTTAACAAAAACACTTACATATATAATATGTAGTCATTCAATATTTAATTTCATATCATTACATAACAAAGGGGGTCAAGTTGTTAAATTGGAAATTGTAGGGACGTTTTCTGACATTTCCGAATTTTCGAGTACGCACTACGCAGTTGACTTCAGAGTCTCTATATATATTCCTCTTATCCGATTCTTTCCTGCGATAGAAAGAAACCAAAAAACAAATCAAAAACAATGGCGAAGAGGAGTTTAACAGAGGAGTCTTGTAATGATTTCAGAGGAAAAAAAAGGGTTCAGTTATCGCCGGCGATGGGTACGTCTAATGGCTTCAACGACTTCAGTTTTTCCGGCGATGACAGCGATGAATACGAACAAGAAGAGTGTAATAGTTCAGTGGGATCAAATCATCCGAATCTTGAAGTGATACTTCTCTCCGGCGATGAAGACGATGAGGTTGAATCTTCATCCTCTAAGGTCGATACTTCCAGCCATGAAGATATCACCGGCGATGATCTGCAAGAAACCAATACGAGAATCACACTATTCCGGTCGCCAGCGGTTTCGGAGAACCAGTGTGGTGAAATCGAATTGCCAGAGAAGAAACGGAAAGAAGTTGAAGAAGAAGAAGAGTGGAATTGGTGGGTGGAATATGGTTCGATGATTGTTGATAATAATGGCTTTCTTTTAGGTGAATTCAGACGATTGGATGAAGAGCTTTACATCAACATAGTGTAAGATTTTTAAATGGTTTTGTATTCGATATTTGTTATGTAACTATTTTAATAGATTATAACACATGATGAGGTTTTCTGATAATTTGATAGATGCATGTCTCTTTTTTTTTTTTTAGAAGTTATTTGTTAAGTGAAGTATTTGATTGAAAGGTAGGATTGATTATTTAGGACGATGTTTATATTTCATATTAGAATTAGAATTTACTACGTTTTATAAAGCAAAATCTTGAAATATTTTGTTTTAAACTCATAATCATCACATTTAGATACAGACGGTTAAATCAAATATTTTGCTTATTTACTTAATGTTTTTATATATGATCTTAGCGTTAATGTTGTTTTAAAGTGACCAGTTTACTATTTTAATTTCCCATATTTTTTTTTTGTTAAAGTCCCTTGACTTGATCTTTATATATCATATCACTCTTGTTACGTCTTTTCCTCCGATAATGTGATTATTTTTTGTTTTAATATCATATTGCCAGGCCTCATCATCTCCTCCATCTTCCCTCTGTCACCACATTCCTCTTACAAAAAATGACAAAAGTCTGGTTAAATGAATACGGATTTAGAAGGATTTTTTATGTCAAGACAATGAGAAATTCAAACCTAATAATATGATATCGTAGATGTTTCCAAAAACTCAAAAACTTTAATACTACCACGAAAAACAAACATTTTATTTGACAACAAAATACTTTCACCGAAATTTAAATCTCTTTGGCCTCAGTCATTAAACTTTTTTTATTTCTTAACGAATCTGAATGATGAAACTTGTGATATCAAACGTGTGACAAATTTATTTTAATGTTTAAATTATGGATGACAGTATATAGGTTATGTTGATTTTTTTTAACTGCTGAATTTTATAAGTTTTAGCAAGGATCTATTTAATTAAAGGGTTGAAAATCAACATAAAGCAATTTGTTTAATTAGCCGAGGTGATACTTTGGCTAAAAGATTCCTAACCTGTATAAAATTGATAAATGCAAATCTGCATTTATCAATTTAAGGATCACAGTAGATGGTTTTGTTGGAGCTTAGAAACGGAGGCCTTGTAGAGGAAATGAAAATGTTAACTTAGACAACATCAAAATGATGATAAAAGATGTTATCCCTCACTCTTGGTCGCATGATCGTTGGTGTTTTAACTTGGATGCTGATGGATGCTACCAAGTTCATCTGATGCACATTCTTATTGACAGGAAGACCACTTGTCCACCTCCGATGTTTAAAGTTTTCTGGATTAAGTTTTCCCCAATTAATGTTTTTTTTTTTTGGAGAGCTTTGATGGGTTGTATCCCAACTTTTGTTGCCTAATATGGTAAGGCTATGGGGAATGGTCACAGCCAACCAACTCTGCACCATATAGGTATTTTACCAATCTATTAGGTTGTGGAAATAATGTTCACGGATGGATTGGTAGTGAAGGGGCAAAAAGGAGGAGAGAGAGAAGGAAAGAAAATGTGAGGTAAAAATGAAATGACCAATTAAAATGTGTGTCTTCCTCCGTCTTCACAACCAACTACAAGCCATTGTTAAACCACCAGTCCACGGATCAGTGTTCACCGGTGAATTAGTGTGACACATAGGAAACTTACGCATGGGTTAATGCCCACTCCGGATAGCCTAAGAACAAAACCACGGACCATCTGCTTGTTGATTGCTATTTTGCTCGAGATGCATTTGCCTAGATTTTAAAGTGATGTAACCTTACGTGTGGCAGCTTCTCAAAAGTGGAGGAGGTCGTTAATTTCACTACAAACCTGGGGAATTGTCTTAAAAAAAGAAAGGTCATTCTCTCTATTGTGTGTTGCTTGTTTTGGTATATTTGGAAAGAAAGAAACAACAAAATTAAGCCTTCTCCTACAAAAATGGCGAATTTGGTGATGTCATTAAGGATTTCAATGGATAAAACATATGGCTAAGGGAGGAGGGAGGCACTCCCTCCGAGCTCATTGAACTTACTGTCACATTAGTTTTTGTCTCTTTTTTTTTTCTTTATCTTTCCCAACCCACAACACAGGGAAATCTTATCTTTCTTAACTCACTCAATTAAAAAAACATACAAAATAAATAATTACAAGTCTTAAAACACATGGTACAAGAGAAAATGAGAGAAAGTGGAAAGAGATGATGAAGAGGGTTAGTGAAACCAATTAAACAACCCACTGAAAAGGGAGTGGTATCGGCGGTAACTATATTGCTAATTAAGATTTTACATTGATTGTTTTGTATTTTTTTAATTAAATGGGTTGAGTTAGTTGAAAAAGATAGAGTTTCCGTGTGTTGTGGGTTGGGATCGATAAAGAAAAATGTAAAAGAAAAACTGATTTAGTAGTGAGTTGGGAGAGAATGACTCCCTCCTCCCTAATGGTATCAAATGCATTCAGGGTGATTGGTGTTGCTCCCCTTTTTATTGCTTTGCACTTTATTGTTGTTGTAGTTGTTTGTGTTTTTCATGTGACCTCTAATAAAATTTTGTGGTTTCCAAAAAAACAAAAGGCTAAGGTTTTTCAATCCAATCGCAATCCACAATTTGTTTA